TGTCGTTGTTGTTGTTGTTGTCATTGTCATTGCTATTCCTATCCATATCCGACAACAACAACAACAACAACAAAAACAACAACAACAGAATGACGCCGTGTTTGTTTTTATTTTATTTTTCAATGTTAATCAAATCGACCTTGACAACGAAAAAAAAATGTGGAAAATTATTTCATTTCAAAACAAAAAACAATCTAACCACTTTTTTTCCATTCGCCAATCACACAGCTACACACACAAAAACATTGTGTGTGTGTGTGTGTGTGTGTGGTAAATTATCATTGTTGCAATATACCAAAAAAAAAACATCAAAATAATCACTGAGAGAAAAGAAAAAAATGGAAAAATCCAATTTTAGCCAATTTTTCATCATTGTTGTTGTTGTTGTTGTTTTGCTGTTGTTGTTTTTTTGTTGTTGTTGTTCGCGTTGTTGTTGGATGGTTGTTGAATTGAATTGAAAATTGCTTTTTTCTTCTTTCTCATAAATGCTTTCTTAAATGTGTGTTTGTGTGTGTGTGTTTTCAAGGATTTGATGAATGAAAGTGAAAGGTTGTTTTTTTTTTTTGTTTGAAAATTGAAAATTTAAATAAAATGTGTGAATGAATGAATAAATGAATGTCTGAATCGATGATGATGATGATGATGAAACCAGTCATTATCAACAATGAAAAAAAAAATTGTTGCAATTCTGAATTCAAGAGAGAGAGAGAGAGAGAGAGAGAGAGACAGGCAGACAAAAATCACAAATATCCATTGTGTTGATTCAATGAAAATTTTTCTTGTGGTTTTTGCAATAGTTTTTTCATTGATTGGTTATCGAATTATTATTTTTAAATCTATACTCGCCATTCTTTATTCTGCTGTTTCATTTGGATGTTTTTCTTTTTTTCTCTCTCTCTCTCTCTCTATCTGTGTGTTTCTGTGTTTGTTCCATATGGTCGTTTTTATTGTGCTGTATCACCGGTTATAGGTCTATGTGGGTGGAAAACAAAACAACAAAAAAAAATGTTGTGAACATCATATATTCATTTGATTTGCAATAGAAAAAAAACAAAATATCTGCCTATGTTGTTGTTGTTGTTGTTGTTGTTGTTGTTGTTGATTTATTGTTTATTGTTTGTTTGTGTGTATGCGTGTGTGTGTACCCGATGCATTTTCATTTCCATCCATTCACGGCCTGGTTTTTTTTGCCTATAATTTTAACCAGAAAAAAAAATTTCCAACAGAATCATGTTTGCAAAAAAAAAATAAAATATAAATTGTGTGATGACAATAACAACATTTTTGTTCGGGTTTTTTTTCTTTCACTTTCAAATTCAAATGAATATTTGAACACACACACACACACCAAAGCCTCATTCCTGCGATGAAAAAAAAAATGTTGACATCAACAATAAATGAAATTAAAGTTGTCGTTTTTTTCTTTCGTTTTTTCCATCATTCAATTGTTGTCAAACCGATCCTATATATGCGAAAAAAAGGGTTGTATGTGTGTGTTGATGTGGGTTGATACAAATTTTTTTTTTGTTTTTTTTAGGGCGGATTTTTTACTCGGGTCTAAATGCGTTTCATTTTTTTTTTTGACAGAAAAAAACCGGATTCAATGATAATTTCCGGGTTCGTAAATGATTCGTAAATGATCAGTCAGATCAATGGAATTTATTTCATCTTGTTTTTTTTCTTTTGAAAGGCAAAAAATTTAATTGTCAACGACTGAAAATGAAAAAAAAAATGACATGCAAGATAATTTATCCATATGTGTGTGTGTGTGTAGATAGATGCTCGAATGATTTTGTTAAAAAATAATTTTTTTGAACAAAAGAAAATTCAACTACTACTAACCAATAGAATAATGGAGTAAAATGTTCATGTTTTTTTTGTTTTCGCTGTCGCTGTCGTTGTTGATGATGATGATGTTCCGACGGGTTCAATTTCTTATTTTTTTTCTCTCTGTACAATGCCATTATACAATCATTTCATTTTTTTTTCTCGAAAAAAGTTCATTAGCATCCATCCATCCATTGGATGACGATTCAATCATCAATAACAAATGAATATTGGTGAATGTGTTGGATTCGTCCTGTGTCCGGTTGTGCTAATGCTGCTGCTGTGGCTGCTGCTTTGGCTGCCACTGTGTGTATGGGTTAAATTATTTTTTTTTCTCTCTCTTCTCTCTGGGGTCGAGCGTTCCATTTTTTTTCCTGGCTAGTAATTCATTGTCACCCATATGAGGCTATTTCAATGGATGAAACAAAACCAAAAAAAAAAAAATTGCCCGACACTATCGTTCGTTGTTCGTTTGTTGTTTTTTTTATTCATTTCATTCATTAAAAAAAATTTTTTGGCCGAATCCAATGAATAATCAGCTCAGTAATAATGAAAAATATGAAATAACATTCAGATCATGGTGGCAGGAAAAAAAGGGTTAGGTCGCAAGTTTTTTTTTGGTTTTGTTTTGTTTTCCTTTAGGAAAAGCTGGTTGTTGTTGTTGGCTGATAATAATAATTAACACTTATACACACCATTATTCAGGGATTTTTTTACTCCTTTTTCAAATCCAAATCCCAATCCCCTTATTTGCCAACAAAACACACACACACACACACACACACACTTGCTCATTAGTTCAAGGTTGCTTTTTTTTCACTATTTCGTATCACAATTTATTTGGTGAAAAAAAAATGAAAATGAAAAACCGATAGTGCGGATTCTTTTCATTTTTTTCAAGTGTATATCTCTTCAAGAATTTTCAAGAATTTTCAATTTGATATCGATTCTTTCAAATTTTTTTTTCATCCAATTCCATTTTCTGTTTAGCAAGAACAAAAAAAAAATAAACAAACAACGAGAAACGATTTTTTTTTATTCTTCTTCTTTATGAAAATAAAAATCAGTGTGTGGGCTCATGACTTCTGTGTATTGGTGGTGGTGGTGGTGGTGGTGATGTTTTTGTACCGAATGAAAAATGAATGAATTTTTTTGAATGTGAATACAAACATCCCTGTGGTGATAATTTGTTTTTGACTAATTATTTATGGATCATCATCATCATCATAATCGAATTTTTCTTTGTTTTTTTTTGTTTGCTGATGATGATGATGATATTCAAATTATTGAAAATTTTTTTTTTTCTTTTGTGTCTTGTGGAGAAAAACAATTGTCTGCTTTTTGTGTTGGTTTGTGTGTGGTAAATTTTGTGTTTTTTTTGGTCGACCAGAGAGAGAGAAAGAAATTTTTTTTTTTTTGAATGAAAAATAAATGATTTCGCCACACATAAATATTGTGTGTGTGTGTGGATGTTGATGTTTGTTAAAACACCAAAATCGATCCTATTCTGTGATATAGACATCAATTTTTATTTCACAATGGCAAAAAGAAAAGAAAAGAAAATTCTGTCAGTTTCTCTCTTGCATAACACAGACAGACAGATGATGAATTTCGAAAAAAAATTTGTTTATTTCAATTAAAAATGCCATTTTTTTTTCTCTTGCTTGCCGAAAATCTTGTTAATTGTTTTTTGTTTATATTTTTGTCTTTTTTCTTTCCATTTTGGTGAAAATCTAAACAACGTTATTGTTGTTGTTGTTGTTGTTGTTGTATCAATTATTATTTTTGGATAAAACAATAATGGATAAAAATCAGTTACATATGGCCATTTGTCAGATTCAAGAAATCACTTGTCATTTTTTTGTATCATCACTATTGTTTATCAATCAATAATAATCGATACACACACAAACAGATACCGAATGTGTAATAATAATATCAACAAGTTGGATAGCAACAGAAGATGGATCTTTTGACATTTTTTTTCTTTGAAAAAAAACAATCGGTTTTCAATTGGTTAAATCGTAGCCATCAGTTGGCCTAATTTTTTTTCTTTAGAAAAATTTCTCAAAAAAAATGTTTATTTTTCCTTTTATTATATTGTTGTTGTTGTTGTTGTAGTTTGGTGTGTTTGTGTGACAACAACAACAACAACAAAAAACAAAAAGTGTAAAGTTTTTTGACCCAAAAAAAAAATTTAACCTAATCATTACACACACACACACACACACATGTGACAACGAAATGATGATGATGATCAAAAAAATATGAAAAAAAAACTCGGCCACCACCACCACCATCATCAATCAATCAATATCACCAGGTAACGCCATCGTGTGATAATAATAAATGACTATCGATTATGATTATTGGTCACACGACAACCGTTTTAAAATCAACAAAAAAAAACGAAAAAAAAATCCACCCCAAAAAAAATTGGATCAACAAATTTCGTTCCTATTTTTGTGGTTTTGTCGTTGTTGTTGTTGTTGTCAGACAATTTATTATTTGTTTGTTTGTTTGTTTATTTATTTGTCATCATTTGTATTTGATAATTTGTCAATATGGTTGTTTTCCGTAGTTGTCGTTGTTGTTGTTTTTCGTTTATTTTTTTTTTTTTTCTCAAATGGTCTCCAGGATGATACCAGAAAATAATTGTTATTGTTTTGTCTTGTTGATGATATATTTCCTTTTATTTCATTTTTAGTTCAACTTCTTTTTCTGGTTTTTTTTTTTTTGTTGTTGTCATTGCATGATCGTCGTCATCATCATCAATTCGTAATTGCATGTATGTATAAATTATCCGTTTTGTTCATTCGCCATTATGTTTTTTTTGAGGAAAAAAACCGATAAGATGAAGAAGACGAAGATGTGTGTGCTATCAATTTTTTTTTTCATTGCACCACCATTTTTGATGATTTGTCGCCATTTTTTTTTTTTTTGTTACACTTTTTATACATTTCCTCTTTTTTTTAAAAAAAAATTTCATTTTCTTCAATGAAAAATGAATTTCAATTTCTAACGAGTTTTTTTCCTTTTTTTTTTTCTATTTCTTCTTCAATCACATCTTTGAAATGGCAACAACAAAATCTTTTGGTGGGCCAAAACAACAACAACAACAACAACAACATCAATCAATCAATCAATTATTGGCCGTGTTTGTTTGTTTATTTGTTTTCAATTAAAATAAATCAGTGATTTAAAAAACTAAAAAAACGAAAAAAAAACATCCAAAGTCATGTCCATTACGAACAATAATTTACAACCAACGAAACAACGTAGAAAAAGACAGCAACAAAAATCAAAAAAAAATTTTGTTAACAAAGTGAAAATGGCACATTTGAATCTCAAATCTCATCATAATCATACAAGACAACAACAAACAAATTATCGTAATCAATTAACGCAACAACAACAACAACAACAACAACAATCATCACCGCCATCATCACCGCCACCACAACAACAGCAATTATTATCAAGACAATTTGAAATGCATCTACGACAGCAGCTACAAATGGAACAGCAACAAATTATGCAACATTTACAGCTATCATCACATCGTCAATATCTACTTAGTAAGTATTTTATTATTATGCAAAATTTGACCAATTTCAATTGAAAATTCGTTTGTTTTTTACTTTTTTTTCATAGATTCATTTCAACCAATTATACAGGAATTTATGAAATCAGTACCAAATGCATCAAATTTTAGTCAAGATGAATTATTGGATCTCTTATTAGCTAATATAACAAATCATGCGGCCGCTGCAGCTGCCGTTCAGCAACATCAGCAACAACAACAACAACAACAACAACAGAATCAACAAAATAAATTCAATATTGCTGCTGTTAATGGTTTAGCGGCCGGATTATCATCTGCATTATTAGCTGGATTAGCTAATTCACCAAATTCTTCAGGTTCTTCATTAACAAATTCATCATCATCATCATCATCAATATTAACAAATGGTAGAAATAATGGTGGCATGGTCTCAACAACGACAGCAACAACAACACCAACAACAACAACCACAGCAACAACATTTTCAAATTCTGGTCAATTACTTCAACAGGCAACATCTCAACAACAATCACAATCTGTTTATCCTCAACATTATCAGAATTCTCATCATTTACCACCACCACCGCCACCACTACCACCACAACCACTATCACAACATTCGATATCATCACCTCAACAACAACAACAACAACAACAATCGATTGAATCATTGGAACAATTAAATCAAGAATTAACAGTAATGTTAGCCAATAGTTGTTTCGGTGGTAATATTGGCAATAGTATAATAAATGATGCGGTTATTTCCGCAGCAACGGCAGCAGCAGCAGCAGCAGCGGCAACCAATACAAATCATACAAACATGAATGGACGTAGTAATAGTCCAATGTTTGTTGGTGATTCAAATATCTATACTGGAACATTATATCATCATAGTATGTGTAAATGGCCCGGATGTGAAACATATTGTGATGATTTGGCATTGTTTTTCAAACATATTTCCAATGAACATGGCCTAGATGATCGTAGCACCGCTCAGGCACGTATACAGATGCAAGTTGTACAACAATTAGAATCACAATTGATAAAAGAACGAGATATATTGATGGCAATGTTACAACATCTTTATGGTAAACAACGAGCAGCAATGGCAGCTGTTGCCAATAATAACAATAATAATAATAATAATAATAATATGGCGGCGGTGACGGCAAAATCGACACCACCAGCAACAACAACAACAACAACAACAATATCAAACAATAATCTGATTGATGGTGGTGGTAGAAATGGTGACAATGATGATGATGATGATGATGATGATGATGATGATGATATCAATATGGCTGCTGCTAATAATGGCAATATTCATTCAAATGATGATAAAATCAATGTGTTAACAACATCATCAACATCGACAACATCATCTTTATCAGAAAATTCTTTAAGAAATGCTGCTGCTGCTGTTGTAGCAGTGGCCAATAACAGTACTCATCAAAATCAACAATTGTCATATAATAATAAATTAAATAATGAAAATTCATCAATGACAACAGCCACCACTACTAGTAGTAATAATAATAATAATAATACAAATCTTCAAAATGTATTAAAATTTCTACAAGAACATGAAGAATTGAATGCAGCAATAAATGTTGCAACAAATGGTTTAGATAATAATCATAATAATCAACAACAACAACAACAACAACAACAATTATTGAATGGTTCATTATTATCATCATCATCATCAACACATCATCATAATCATCGTTTATCACCGGCTATTCCATCAAGGACTTCCACCATTAATAATCAACATCATAATTTGAGTTTATCATCACCAAATTCACGTCATCATCATTCATCTAGTCATACACATTCATTGTTTATGATGAATCATAATCACCATAATAATAATAATAATAATAATAACAATAAATCACCATCGTCGCTTGCATCACCAAATGGTTCATGTAATTCAGAAAATTTTATTGATCTTACACATAGCGTATCATCATCATCATTATCATCTAAACATCATCGTAATGCATCATCATCATCATCATCATCATCATCATTAGCGATTCGACGAAGAAATTCTGATCGTCATCATCAATTAATGATGAATGATTCTTCATTAAATCATTCAACAACAACAACAACAACAACAAATAATAATAATCATATTCTTAATCTATCCGGTGATAGTAGCAATATAACACAACAACAACAACAACAATCAACAAATTTAGCAAAAGATTCATCAATAGCAATGATGAAATTATGTAGTCCAAATCATAATAATGGTGGTGTTGGTGGTCAAACACCTCCAATATTATCATCAACATTGAAATTGTCAAATAATCATCATTCATTGATTGATGATATTGGTGGTGGTGGACATCAAACGTTGAATAACAGCAGCAGTAGTGGCAACAGCAACAACAACAAATCAAGTAGCAATAATAAAAATCATAAAAATGATTTATCATCATCATCATCATCGACAACAACAACAACATCGACAACGACGACGGCCACGACGACCACTACCACCGGAAAAACTTCAACATCAGCAACAACGACAGCGGGAACAGGAAATAAACATGGAAAGGTTAAAAAATTATGTAATAAACATAATCATAATAACAGCAGCAATCACAATAATTATAATGGTGATCTTTGTTTACCTGAAAATACTCGTCGTCGTATTGCTGATCGTAATAATATTGACATCTCTGAAGGTTAGTTATTCATTGTTTTTTTGGATTTAATCAAATAAATTGATTGTCTTTTTCCGATCACCCTGTAATAAACAAACAGAAATATCACGTAATCGACAATTTTATCGTACAAATGAAGTACGGCCACCATTTACATATGCTTCATTGATTAGACAGGTATGTTTTACATATATATATATATAGATATTGTCATTACCAATCAATCAATATACGATACAGATGCTTTTGTTTCAAATGAAATTTTTTTCCATTCAATTTAAAGTCCAAAACAATGTGTTTGTATGTGAGTGGGTATTACAGATTTAATTTAATTGCATTTGAAATGCCATCTTTTTTCATCTAAAATTCATCTTTCATTGTGTTTCATAATGTGGCAACCAACTACCAACCAACACAACAACAGCAAAAAAAAAAAAAAATAGATTCCAGACATGAATTTTATAATTGATTCAATTCGAATTTAAAATGAAATAGAGAGAGAAGAGAGAGAGAGAGTGAAAAAAAGATTTAAAAATTTCATTTATTTCAATGTTGAGAAACATACACAGAGAGAAAGATTCTTTTTTTTTTAAAAATTTTCTCAAAACTTTGTCATGTTTCTCACTCATTCACTTTCAATTTTCTCATTCTGTATTATATATTTAGCTGCTATGCATCATCCATCGTTTTCTTTTTTTTTTTTTGTTGCATGGAAATGAATTTTTTATTTTATTTTCCAATTAAATGACATAGACACTGTGAATTGCATTTTCTAGAAATGCTATATATGTGTATATACAATAGATGACGATGATGATGATAAGTTTCTTTATTCTTTACAGAATTTATATTTTTTTTTCTTTTTGGTTCTGATTCTGGTTCTGGTTGCCCAAAAACTTTTATTATTATTTGAGAATTTCTATCATTTTTTTTAGTTTTAGTTTTCGTTTTCATTTTCTCTCTCTCTGTGTGTGTGTGTGTGTCTATGTCGCATTCGATTTGAATTCATTTGATTTATTTTTTTTTTTTTTTTTTTTTATTCTTTCACAATTGTGATTCTGTTGTACAAAGTGAATGAACGAATGAATTTAGGCAAAAATAAAAAGAAAAGAAACAGAAAAGTATGTGTGTGTGTGTGTGTGTGACATTACTCCCCAAATTTTAATATTGAATATTGAATATTCGACAACAATTATTTTCATCCGAAACTCTTTTTTTAACCATGAACAAACTTTGTTTGAATCTTTTCTCTGTCTGAATTCTGTTGATTCACACATGGAATTGAATTGAATAAAATGTTGGTGGTGGTGGTGGTGGTGGTGGTGGGAAAAAACTTTTCCCTTTCCGTTTTTTTCCATAATGAAACTTTTCTCTTTCTTGTTGTGTGTGTGTGTGTGTTAGAATTTTATAGTTTGACAATTTAACGAAGAAAATAGAAAAAAAAATCGTAGCAGTAGCAGCAGTGCTAGTAGAACAAATCAAAGGCGGAACCAAAAAAAAAGAAGAAAAATTCAAATTCAAATTAATTGTCTTTGTGTGTGTGTGTGTGACCGTAATGCCCATTCAGAAAAGATGATTTTTAAAAAAAAAAATCCAAGTTTAGTTTGGTATTTGAAAATTTTGACAGCTTAAATTTCATTTAGGTTTGGCCATGTATTTGTATATTTTATATTGACTAATTTTTTTTTTTGAGATAAAATTGATGATTTTTTTTTCGTTCCAATGGATGAAAATTGTTTGATCACATTCATTCATTTATTGAATATATTAATTATTTTTTTCTTTTTTTGTTCATGAAAAATTTTCATTTTTTTTTCTTGTTTCATTCAGTGTAATTAGAGCTTTTCGATAAAACCAGTTTTGTAATCATCAATTTCAATGATGAGACAAATTATTCTGTGTGTGTATGCGCGCGTGTAAGAATATTCTATGACAGTAAAAAAAAATAATAAATCCTTTTTTTTTGCTTCTTCGTTTTGTTTTGTTTTATTCATTTAGGTTTTTTGAACAACAGATTTTTTATTATTATTATTATTATGGGCTTTAGATATATTGTTCAGTGAACTTTACATTCATATCATTTAGAGTGGAAATAAATTTTTGATCGATTTTTTTTCAAGAAAAAAAAGGAGGAAGGATTTTTCTTTTCTGATTACATCAAAGTTGCCTTGGCATTTTAATTTCCTTTGATTTGATGATTCAGTTACAGAATATATGAATAGAGATATTCTGTCTTTTTTTTTTGGTCGCTTGGTTGGTTACTTGTTTTTTGTTTTTTGTCATCTCCAATAGTAGTGGCGATGGTGTCAGTGTATCTTTGATCCAACGATAAAGAAATTTAATTAATGAATGAATGAATGAATAAACCAAGCAACAACAAAGATGATTCTTGCTTGCATTCAAGCCGGAATTGTGTGTGTGTGTGTGTCTTAGGGAATGCAATGCAATGGAATGAAATGAATTTAAAAAAAATCAAATCAAATCAAATGAGAATGAATGAATGAATGAAAGATATTAAAATATTAAAATTTCAAATTAAAAAAAAAAGAAAAAAAAGTTCATCTTCAATGAACACAGAATATTCATTTCATTGTATCGTTGCAACAACAACAACAACAAAAATCTAAATTGTAATAAGAGATAAGCTTTGCTTTGAATTTGAATTTTTTTTTTGTTCTTTTGTGCTAATTATATATTTGAGATTCTGTAGTTATTATTCTGTAGTTATGTAGATTTATCTCTACTCATTTTTGTTCATTTTCTTTTGTTTTTTCTGGTTTGGCGCCGACGAAAAAAAAAAATTCAGTTTCAAAGATAAGACATAATATAATGGACAACAGAATTTCTTTTCTTTTCTTGTTACCGGATTAGACTGTAATAATGATTTTTTTTTTGTTCGCTAACGTATCCGGATATATGTGTTGTGTGTGTGTGTGTGTAATATCCGATAGATAATGATGATGACCATAACGATAACAAGTTGAAACAAAAAAAAAACAAAAGCTTTTCATTTGTTACAGAGAATCGATAAACATTGTGTCTGTGTGTGTGTTTCATCTATTATTAATTAGTACGTTATATATGGACGGATTGTGTCATTTTGTTGTTGTCATTATAATAAATTTTAATTAAAAGAAAAAAAATTGTGAAGGCAATGTAAATCATTTTGTTGCAGAGCAAAAAAGAGCGAAGAAGAGTGAAAAAACATTGAAAAAAAAAAATGAAAAAAAATGAAAGGGAGTGAGTGAGTGAGTAAAAAAAACTTACGACAATTTAATCTTGACAAAGCTAAATTAAAGTTTCAAAATGGTGATAGTATCGATTGTGTGTGTGTGTGTGTGTGTTTGTGACAAAATCGATAGTATCGATTTTTTTATACAATTTTTCTTAAAAACTAACTAAAAAAGAAAAAAATTCTCTCTCTCATTTAACGATCAAAATAGGCCATACATGAATCACCGGATAAACAGCTTACATTGAATGAAATATACAATTGGTTCCAGGATACATTTGTCTATTTTCGTCGTAATGCAGCCACGTGGAAGGTTTGTGTTTTGTATTTTGTGTTTTGTCGATAATTGATTATCATCATCAATATATAATTGAAATCGATATTTCATTCAATTCCATATTATAGAATGCCGTCCGTCATAATCTAAGTCTACATAAATGTTTTATGCGTGTTGAAAATGTTAAAGGTGCCGTTTGGACTGTAGATGAATTAGAATTCTATAAACGACGGCCACCTAAATCGGAAAAAGGATCTGGGTATGTATTCAGTTGATTTAATCAATCAATCAATCAACCAATCATTATTATTATTATAAGAAGTGATGAAGAATTCAATACATTATGGGCAAATGGTCAATCTGATCTAATCAATCATCGAACATCATCATCATCATCATTGACCACAGCGATTAAAAAACCAGGTGCACGTGGTCGTCCAAAACGTACAACACCAACATCGCTATCATCATCATCATCATCCGCAGCAGCAACAGCAGCAGCGACAAAAACATTGACCAAAATTGATGGTGGAAAGTGAGTGGAAATTTTTATTTTTTCTTTGTTACAAATTTCTCTCATTTTTTTTTCTTTCTTATCGATGATGATGAAAATAAAAATCGATTATCACAATTATGAGTGAGTGGTCATTTTTTTCTGTTTTCGCCAAATTGGAAATTATTTAATGTTCAACATAGGAATTAGTTGAAATTGTTTTATGATTTTTGTAAAAACAAAAAAAAATTTCTCGTTGTTTTTTTTGTATTCTGCTCTAAATTGCTTTTTTGATGGTTAGTGAGAGAGAAAAAAAAATTTCAGATTTCAATTCAATCCAATTTTATTTGATTTGAAAAAAAAATTCTGGTCCCATACCGATAATGATGATGATGATGATGATGATTGTCATTGCTTTACGATTACACACACGTTTAATGGCGTTTTGTCATTTAATGTGAAATTTTCAATCATTGAAAATTGGCCATTTAGCCATATCGATATAGAGAAGAATTTTTTCATTTTATTTATTCCCATTACATTATCATAATCTTGATTTTGTTTTTTTTTTTTTTCTTCTTTTTCTTCTTCTTGTTTTTCATTTGATATTTTTTTGTTGTTGTTGTTTGGTGATTCTGGATACATATTACACCCACCAAACACACATTATGCTGCTGCTGCTGCTGTTGAAAATGATTCTGATTTTATTTTTTTTCTTTTTTTTCAAATTCTGGAACTGCCCATTTGGCGTCAACCATTTTTTTGGTTGGTTGTCTGGTTTTGGCTGGCTGGTTGTTTTAGTTGATTTAGGTCTTATGTTTGTGTATATGTTTTTTGTTTTGGCATGTTTGTTCCCTTTTCTTTTTTTTTTTTGATGTGAATTCATATTGAATAACGACAACAGCGACGACGCCCTCGACTTCTATATGTTGGTGTGGTCCTTGTTTGTTTGTTGTTTTTATTCATATTTTTCTTTCGCCCATTTTACAGAAAAAAATGATGATGATGATGACGATGAAAGAGTAGCTAATGCATCGAATCGATTCTTGTTGTTGTTGTTGTTGTTTTCTATTTTATTTATTTATATTTCCATTTTAGTTAAGGGCATCCCATTTTTTTCCGGTTCCTTGTTTTGGGCACACACACACACACACACCAATAATATTCAAGTATAAGGTGCATTGTATATGTTTGTTTTTGTGCGCATTCCAGAAGAAAAAAAAATGATGCTTATGATCTCATATATAAACAAGAGACAAATCAAAGTCACAAATACTACGCATGGATCATCATAGTCATAATTTCATTCATGTTTGGCCCAAACGTTGAAAGTGGATGGATGTTATATTTTTTTTTTGTTTGGTTATTTTTTCCCTTATTATTTATTGATCAGCACAGCATCAACGAGAGCAGCACATCGATAGTTGGATGTTGTTGTTTGTTCTGGGACCTTGCTAGTTTTTTTTCTCATTTTTACTCTCGGGTCCTTTCTATATAGTTTTTTTTTGGCGATCATCATCACTAGAGTATATATGCAATATGTTTCTCTCTCAGTGTGTGTATGTTTGTTGGCTGATTTTTTTTATGAATTTTTATGTTTTTCCTGTAATACGATTGGATATCCGACCAATATGTTGGGATGTACCCAAACGGTTGTTGGTAACAATGATGATGATGATAAAATAACGACAACAACAACAACAACAACAACAACGACGACGACGACAACAACAAAAACGAAAATAACATTAGAAAATGATAGTACATCTGGCCTATCGTTTTTAAATTCGTGATACGAAAGATGAATATATATATATTTCCATTTTCGATTCATTCATTAGTAGGCGCCAACGCAATTGAACAAAAAAAGTGGTTAGAATTGAGTATGTCACTGAATAAATGAATAAAGAATTTAGAATATCGTAGCGACAACAAGAATGTTGAATTGAATAGAATATTCTTCACATTGATAATTCTGTTGTTTTATTAATGATTGAAAGAAAAAAAATAATTAAAATGAAATCGAGAGAGAGAGAAAGATAGAGATAGTCGAAAAAAACCATATCAAATTCAATTCATCTTTTTTTTTGCTGTAATGTCAAGAATTGATGAATTGAAAAGAAATGGAATGAAGTGAAATGAAATGAAATGAAAAGAAAAGAAATCTTTTGTTTTGTATATGAAGATTCTGTTATTCTTGCCACGATGATCAAGATGATGGTTCTCGATGGCGAATGGCAAAAAAAAAAAAAAAGTTTTCCTGTTTTGTTGTTTTCATCATCATCAAAACAATGATGATGGAACCAAAGAAAAAAAAATGAAATGAAATGGGAAGAAAATTTTTTCCATCTTCATATCATTAATATTTTAAATGTCAAATAGAATTCAAATGATTGAAAGATTTTGTTTCTCTTATTCTTTATTTTTTTTTTGTTTTGTTTTGTTTCTACTTCTTTTACATCTTTTTTTTTTTGATTAGCTTCGAGCAAAATAAATCTGCATTTATTATGCAATCTGTCCATTTACAACATTTTCTTTTTTTTTCCTTTGCATAACAAACATTCTTGTTTTCAGAATCAGAAAAAGAATTTTTTTTTCAAATTCATTATTATTTTTTCTGATCAAACACACAAACACACTCGAAAAAAATTTTCCATTATTTTTTTCAAGTTTTTTTTTACCCTTCGCAACCCTTTTTCTTTGTGTGTGCTGGTATGTTTGATTAACCAAAAAAAAGAAGAAAAAATATTGATGAATATGAAAAGTAAAGTACGTATTCTATTTGCATTCATTCATTCATTCATTCATTTTTTTTTTTTTGGTCTCGTTTTGGTTTCGATTTCGGTTTGGTTCTATCCATCCCAATGTATTGCACACGAACACACACACACACAAAACATGCATGTATGATTTGTGTGTGTGTGTGTGTGTGTTTGAATCTAATCTATTATTTTATTTTTGGATCGAAAAATTTTTTTTTTTTTTTTCTTGGTTTTGTACACACACACACACACACATCGTTTTGTTGTGTGTGTGTGTGTATTTGTTCCATATGGCGCCCAGAAAAAAAATGAAAACCTACGACCAGAATATAATTTATTATTAAGTATAATAATAATAATAAAGTAAATAATGGGAAACAAAAAAAAATGCCAATTTCAAATTCCAATTTTGAAATTTCTTTTCACTTTCACTGATTCCATCGATTGATTATGAGGGGGAAAAGGGGGTGCGGAATCCTTCCATTTCATTTCATATATTCTCTCTTGGTTTAACCAGAATTTTTTTCTTCCTGAATTTCAATTCAATCTTTTCCATTATTATTTGGTTTGTGTGTGTGTGATTGATCACTGAGAGAGAGAGAGCGAAAAAAAACACAAGTTTGCGATTTTCTCAATAATAATCATCATGGTAGTCATTTGAATCAATATTAATTATGATTACCTAATATCTGGTGGTTTTTTTCGGCCATGTGTGTGTGTGGTGTGGTTGATTAGTTCACATAAGACCAAACCCTTATTTTTTTTTTTTTGCCTTGTTCCATAATAATGATGATGATGATTATGGAACACGCCATTTTTTTTGTTTTAGATGAGAAAAAAACTTTTTTTTGTTCCATATTCCAAAATTCGATGCTTGTATATAATTAATTATGATTAGTGAATAATACGATTTTTTGTTGTTGTTGTTGTTGTCGTTGCTCGTTTTACATATTTAGTAGTATTAATACACACACATTATCCATTGTCATTTGTCGAACACTTTCATATTTGTATAACATCAAAATAAAACAGAATATTCTGTTCAATCCGGAATTTTTTGTTTCTCTCATCTAGGGTATTTAACTTATTTTTTAGTTCTAATTTCTAATGAAAAAAAAAACTGAAAAGATTTATTTGCTCATTCTTATCCCCAGTCTTTAGTAGTCATAATCATCATCATCATCATCATCATGGTCATTGGTGGTGGCCATATTCATTTTGTTTGACAACAACGATTGCCAATCACAAGAAAAAACACATATACATACCATTTATTTCACATCTGGTTGGCGGTGGTGGTGGTGGTGGTGTTGGTGTACCCAAGAAAAGATTTTTTTTCCACTGAAATCATAATTGGAATTTCACTTTCCAAATTTCTTTCTCTCTCTCTCTCTTTTTGCTTGTCAATTATTTTGTTATTATCCCGAAATGTGTGTATTCTTGCTGAATCTGTCAATTTTTTGACTTAATAATTTCAAATCCATACATTTTTTTTTTGGTCTTTTTCAAGAATTTCTTACATTAAATATTCTGATGATTATTATTTTCCAAAAAAAAAATGATGAAAAATTTTTTTTATTCTTTCCATTCTGGAAACAATGTTATTTGCAGAATTTTTCCTTTCCATCCATTTTTCTCATTATAAACACAGTTGTAATCATAAACTGGAAACAAATGCTCGTTTTCTCCGTTTCTTTTTTTTCTTTCTTCTGATCCATTTGGACCGAAATTGTCCCGAAAAAAATAACTCTAGTACAAAAAAACTTATTCACAATGACAGAAAAAAAAATATTTTTAGCTGCCAATAATTATGATGATGATGATCATTAGTATTCATTAGTATTTGGTTTATCTGCTGATACAATGCTGTGTATGTGTGTGTGTTTTTTTTGTTGTTGTTGTTGATGATGATTAGTGATGTTTTTTTTCTCTCATTCTGTGTGGGTGTGTGTGTGTGTTTGTGTTGCCCATCATTATTCATTAGTTTTTCTTATTAATTTTTTTTCATTTTTTTTTTGTAGAAATTTAATATCCGATTCGGTTTTGAATCAACATCATCATCATCATCATCATCCACATCCACATTCCGCATCATTTCCATTTGGTAATGGAAACATTTTACAATCATCAACGACATCATCAACATCATCATCATCGGCTGCAATTGCTGGTGCAATGAATTCATTATCATCATCAACTAATAATTCAATGATGCCAAATATTAATAATTTAACTGGTTCATTATTAAAAACTGGCTCAATATCATCACCAGTAGCTGCAGCAGCAGCAGCAGCAGCAACAACAGCATCATCATCATCATATCATGATCCAGTTGCTGCATCAGCTTTAAATGCATCACTTCAGGTGATAAATATTGTCATATTTACATAAATTTTAATGTTTTGTTATTTTTTTTTCTCATTCCAGGCATTAACCGAATCAGGTTTATCACCATTTTTAGCAAATTTTCCATTTCCATCAACATTAGATCTCATTGGTTCTACTGCAGCAGCAGCCGCAGCAGCAGCAGCAGCTTTACATTTAAATGATTCACAGCCAACAAATTCCAATAACAATTGTGGTTCATTATCATCATCATCATCAACAACAACAGCAACAGCAACAACCACACATCAAGCATCAATATCGAATGGAATTATATCGTCTTTCAATAGTCATGGTGGTAGCGGTCAACATTCACCAAATTCATCCATAAATACTATAAACAATCGTACAACACCACCAACAACAACAACAACAACTGCTCAATTGTCTATGAATCATGTAAATCAGGAAAAACAACGTCAACGTCGTCGTAAATCAAATCGGCCATCATTATCATTATCATCGCATGAAGCATCATTCTCGGATCTAGATGATGATGATGATGATGATATTGATGATAATTTTATTGGACATGATAATGATTTAGTTCAATATCATCATAATTATAATGATGATAATAATGATGCTGATGATGATCTTGATGATATTGATGATGAACTTGATGATGATGATGATGATGATGATCTTTCATTTCGTAATCATCGAAAATTAAAACGTCCAAAATTATTTGCTAGTGATGATGGATTCGATATGAATTATGTTGATTTTGATGCAGATGATGATGTGGATGATATTGCAGATGATGTTGAACATATCAAACGTTTAGATGGTGACCACCACATGGATGATGATAAATTGATTAAATCAATTGAACAATATGGTGATACCAATTTGGTACATGATCTATCCGTTTCGAAATCATCATCATCATCATCCAGATCCTTGGATAACCTAAAAGATGATGAACCATCATCGACAACAATTTCGAATCAAGATGATCAACAACCAAAGAATAATAATGATGATGATGATGATAAAGTAGACGATAATGATACTTCAAAACGAGAAGCTATATCATCGATCCAATCACCGGCCACTACCGATAATCATACAAAAAATGATATGAAAATGGAAATAGAATCTGAATCATTAGCACAAAAACAAATTGAATCCGATACATTGTGTGAAAATCAAACAAAATTATTATCACCAATCAGTGAAACAAATGAACAATTGGATTTTGATGCTGAAAATACCGAAGAATCTGATATTAGTAATGGTGGCGATGATGATGATGACGATGATGATCAAGAATAATTCTAATGGTTCGTATTTGAATTCTGCAATATTTATAAATTCAATTTTTATTGATCATAATCTTTTTTTCTTTTACAGAATCCAAACATTCATTCATTCATTCATTTATCATGTTAATCACTCATCACGTATAAAAATTTGCAATTTCCATTCTCAACTACAACAACAACAACGACAACTATAACGACAATTTTCAAAAAAGACAAAACACAAAATTCATTCATTCACCATTGTTATATTATTGAAACTCCAATGAATTCATTGTAGTCATTGAATTTCGAGACATACACACACACACACACACACACACAGACAACAACGAAAAATAACCATACAACCAATCTATCTACCTGTGTATATAAATAATGAAAAAAACTATTCAATTCGTTTTTTTTTTTCTATTTTCTTTTCCAATTTTTTTTTCTCTCGTTTGTTTCAATTTAATTTTGTTATTATTATTATTATTATTATCATTGATAATGAAACATTTCATTCAATTAATCCCTGTTTTAGAAGAATTTTGAATTTAACCAATCATCATCATCATTATCATCATAATCGATCAATAGATTGATCAATCTCATACGCATTATATAAATGAAATAGCCAAAACAAAAAAATGGAAAAATCAATTTGCATCTTGTCATTCATTCATTCATTCATTCATTGATCATCGATAATTAGGATTTTTATTCCGTTGTTGTTTGATTTTGTTGATCATTTTTTTTCTCAATTCTCCTGGTTTTCTCTCAAATTTTTTTCTTTCATTATTAATCAAATTATGTATTCAAATTATTATTAATTTTTCAAATTTCTAGGCATTTCTTTTTTTCGTTTGTTTGTTTGTCTGTCTATCTGTCTCTCTTTTTTTTGAATTTTCATTTTTTTCCGCTCTCCAATAGGCAATTATTGTCGGCCATTGTCTTTTTTTTCTATAGAAAATTGATCATCATTATCGATTTGATTATCGATTATCTCATACACACACACACCCACACACAAATATGAAATATTTTGTATTATAAAATATGAATGAATGTGTTGCTTCGATTATCGATTTTATTCATTATTTTATTTCCAATTTTCATTAATAATTAAAATAATCATTGAAATGAATTGAATTTTTTTTTTTTTTTGGATTTCAATTGATCACACCCATCACCCTGTTGTTGTTGTTGATTCATTTGAACATGTAGATTTTTGAAATGGTCAAAAATGCCACAATATCAACGATGATTAAAGTGAAAATGATTACCATTGTAATATTGACACTATTCTTGTGATGTGGATGATTATCACCACTACCACCGCCGGCATTATTATTCAAAAATGAACATTCAATACGACGGCCATTTGGTTCTTGTAAACGGCGAAAATTATTGCCAATTTTTTTGCCAGATTTGTGATCGATTACGTTCAAGAATTTTTCATACTAAATAATCAAGTGTAGAATTGGATGAAATGAAATGAAATAAAATTCATTCATTCAAACTATAATGATTGATACCTGATTGAATTCAATTTCATTTGGATCATCCATTATTAACCATGTTACATTTGATGTACATGGTGGTGTTGTAACTGATCCATGATAACGATAAAAACTTGCAGTATTATTTGGCAACAACAATTGTAATATTAACTGGTCTTGTAAATCAATTGAATGATTTGTATGTGTGGTTTGTAGTTGTTGAATTTTTTTGCTTATAATATCGAAACCAGGATTATAATCATTATCATTTTTATTGATATTAAAAAATATTGCCAATATTGATCAAGACAATTGTTCACGAATTCCCTGACCACAATCAGTACGTATTTGACGCACCTGACATTTATACCGAGCCTGACGACGTGTGATGAAATCAATAATGGCTTCGGCAGCATCAGATTTTGGCTTTCAATGGAATACCAAAACAAAATCGGGAATGATGATCGACAATCCGCATTCCATATTTTATTTCAGTGATCGATGATGTTGGACTCTCCCACAGATCAATATGTAGGAGCTCAAATAGCTAACATGTTTGTATACCATAGGTAATTTATGTGATGATGCAACTGATTTATTTGAGCAACAGTGATCACAATTATCATGCTTGTTGTTCACATCTGGATTTATCTTGTGAACACGATCCATGATGACTTTACCCGGATGACCAAGGCGATTATGCCAAAGGTTGAAAATACTGTGGGTAGGTTGATTAATGACGGCCCAAAGACCTGTTGAATCACGAATAGCATTGACAACCAAATCACCCTTGCGGATGGTTACAGATGGAGTAGACGAATCACCGTCAAAATTAATCGAATAGCCATCATCAAATAATTGTTGAACAGACAGCAGATTGGAATTGAATTTACCATAAGCTACGTTATTGCCACATTACCATACGTTATACTTCGGACACCTGTCCAAAGACAAACGTTTCCGTTGTTTTCAGAATCTGTTTCGGTGGACGTGCGGCTTGATGCCACGTGTTGCGATGACCTGAGACAACCGGTCCAATACCATTGCTAAATCAGCATCCTTCGTTTTGTTGTTAGACATTGTTAAAGATGAAAAAACAATGATGATAGAAAAACGAGGGAAAAAATAAATCAATAAACAAGAGACGTGTTGATGTTAAATCGTAACCACGCTCTGCTACCAATTGAAGAGTTTTATTGATATATAAAAAATAACTCCAACTGAACAAATGAAATACAATCAGTTTAAATACAAAGAAAATGAAAAAATAAACAAACAAGAAATATTAGTGTCATAGTAAAGTTTACACACACATTCAAACTATAATGATTGATACCTGGTTGAAACTCGTGCATCCAATGCTTGATTGTATGATCGATATTTTTTATTATTATAATGAATGAGATGCATCTGCGTATTTTTTTCCAATAAAATTAGTCACTAGTAAACAAAAAAAATTTTACACTCACTTCAATCGGATAAATATGACCATTAATACGATGTTCTGAACCAATTTTTGGATCGATTCCCCAATGAAAATGAAATTGTTTCAATGCAAATTCTTCATCATTCAATGCTGATCCAGTAATGGTAGGCACCAAGATTGAATTGCCAATATAATCAAATTGAACTATTAAGGAAAAAACGGACATTATTTGAAAACTTGACAATTCAATAAATACCTGAACGTCCATGATTAGTGGCACGAAAATTCGCGCTAGGTTGATTATAATTACGAAATTCAATTTTTAATGATTCATTGAATATAAGATCAGTGTAACGAATATTGATTGGTGATTGATTAATATCATCACATTCTTTGCTCACATCTGACCATGATTTTTGATCTGAAATCAATACGATAATGATTGATCAAACTATCCATTTCAAACTTACCATTATAAGTCCATTTTTGAAATGCATCAACCTCGATTTCATAATAATGGTGTAATATCAAAATGAATGTGAATAGCGAAAATTTGTTCATCGAATTATTGATGGACATTATTCACCGATTGATGATGGCAACCAAACAGCTTAGAGATTTGTGTATCCACGTTGACAATGAGAAAATCGAATGATGGAAAAAAATTGGGTCTGACCATTTTTTTTTTGTTCGATCCAATTCTTATGGTGTGAAATAAAATGATTGATTGTTCTATTACTACCAGTACACTGTTTTTTCATTCTCATGAATATTTTTAATCATATTTTCGTCCGGTGGTCGTGTTTTCGTTTTTGGATCGATATTGATTCATTTTGATATATTTTTTTTTGTCATGTCAATATTTCATTGATTGATTATGATAAACAATTTGTGATTGCCAGAAAAAAAATGTTACATTTCCATTTCTGGCCTTCAATCGTTTTATTTTAGCTAAATTAAAAAAAAATGCCAACCAAAAAAAAAATCAATTTCAAATTGTTTAGTTATTGTTTATAACAATAGATGGCGATAGAGTTGCTAGAAATATTTTTTTTCTTTCAAAGAATTTCGAAATTGTTTTTCATTCTGAATAGAAAAAAAAAAAAAAAAAAGAATTCACCACATTCCCTAGACAAAAAAAAATGTCATAATGATTCTTAGGAATTTTGTCCACAATCAAAATTCATTGTACTGTCGATTGATATCAACGCAAATGTTATGTAATACTGCGAATACACATAGCTATTATTAGCCATCTTAATTCCAGTATAGTATAAACCAGTACAAGAAATCCATAAATGAATGGAAGCCAAAATTCTTGCGAAAAAAAAATCAACAAGAATTCAGTATAACAGAATTGACATTTTACCATTTTCACACTATATGTGGACATTCTCTCTTTGTGTGTGTGTGATGTTCAGTATGGCTTCTAATCTATTTTCATCTATTAGATTTCTTTCTATGGATCATCATCATCATCATCATCATCATTTGTGTCCGGTTCTGTCAATTAGGATATTCAATTGCCAGTGCTTGCAATGAATTCTAATTCTACTACTGCTATTTGGTTTATTGCCATTTGAATCACAATTCCACACAATTCATCATTATGGTGATTCTGTGCTAGAATTTTTTTTTTCTTTTTCATTCTTTATTCATTCGTATTCATGTCAACTAACTGACTTTTGTTTTTTTCCTATTTTTGTTGTTGTTGTTGTTTGCGATTATATAATAATGAAGAGTTCTTATTTTTTTTTCTTTTGGTTGGTCTATAATTCCATTTCACAATAATGATGATATGCATCACACATATTTGCGTCAATTGTCATATTTGGACCAGAAAACAAAAATTTCCCATCCTCTTTATAATGAGGATTGATTTTTTTTTTGTTTGCTGCTAAAATGGCCAAGAGTTTTTAAATGTGAATATTCTTAATTCATATATGACTTTTGAATATGAATGTCATGCGTCAAATAATATTATCATGTTTAGCGACCAAGTTTTTCTGTTGTTGTTGTTGTTGGTTTGCAGAATTTTTTTTTTTTGTTTTGTTTAACAAATACACAAGAATTTTTTTGCGCAGAAAGCCAACCAACCAGCATCATCATGTTATTGTTGGTTGGTCGGTATATTGTGCATTGTTATTATTCGTGTTGTTGTTGTTGTTGTTGTTGTTATTGCTGTTTTTCATTGCATTCCTGGAACATGTTTACGCGTGTGTGTGTGTGTGTGTTCAAAACAGCCAAAAACTTTGTTTCCGTAACAGAAATATATTATCGCCAAAGCTCAAAAAGAAAAAAAGTCTTTTTGAGTCCACAAAAATAAATGCCGAATTTTAAAAAATTAAACTATACTGCTACTGTACCGAATATTGTTGGTCCAAATGGAACAGTTGTTAATAGAGAGAGTGGAAAAAAGAATTGAAAATATACAAAAATTCTCTTACAAAATATTGTTATGGCTTCCTTTTTCGTTTCATCATCAATAATCAATGTATAAGCAATGTGTATATATCATTATGGTGGTTCCAGAATTTTATCCATCATACCACTACCATCATTGATGAGTTTAAGAATTTTTTTTTTCATCCATTCGTTTGGATTCTAGGTTCATCGAGTTTGCGTTGATTGAATCAAACTAGAATTTTTTTTTCTTCTTCTTCTTCTTAGTTTTTTTTTCATCGTCGAAATATATCTAGCTCATATAACGAACAATTCTTTTTGTCGTCTGATCTTTGTATGTCTGATCGCATTGTTGTAGTAGTAGTGTAATGGCCATTAGAATCGATACAGAATATCATCAGAATAGTAGTAGCACTATCAACATCATCATTATATTCCAATATAATAACGAATAGGTCCAACAAACATTTATTCGTCGCTCCTTTTTTTTTCTTTCATCTTTTGTTATTATTATTGTTGTTGTTGTTGTTGTTGTTGTTTTTGTTCCAGAACCGAACCAATTTCTAAAAACGAATCTTATAACTAAAACTAGCGCGCGCATCATTTACAAAATAGACGACAACCAAATCGTGTGTGTCTGCAGTTGTGTAATGTCAATTATGATGATGATGATTATTTTGATAGCTGGCAATTACATCGTACACAGACACACACACACACATTGATATCAACCAAACCAACCTAACCGACAGACCGACCGACCGACCGACGATTGTTTTCATACATTTTTTTCCAATATTTCAATCATCAGCTGTTTATGAAATGATTCTGTTTTATATTACCAGATTTTCACCGGATTCAGAATTTATTCTACTCAACTAACAACAACAAAAACAGTGTGTCTGTATGACAAATTATTCTGTGTAGAATAAATGTGAAAAACTTTTAAATTTATTCAAAATTAATTCTTTTTATTTCGCCAACATCTGAATCCATCATCATTTAATCATCATTGTAAACTTTTTATTTTTACTGTGAAAAAAAACTATCATTCATCAATGTTCATGTAGTCGTCATCAATCTCAATAAAATTTTCTCAAAATTTTTTTTTTTAGTCAAACAAAATAACCTCGATAATGATGACAACAACAGAAAATTGAGATCAAAATTTGCTCATGGATTCTGAATATTCTGTTTTGCTAAATTTTGAAAAAAAAATTCTCTATGGACTTGACACACACACACACACATTCATGGGTGTGTAGATTGTGTTTGTGACATTTTTTTTATTATCATCCACATTCATAATTTTATTTGTATTTTTCCTCGGTGTGTGTGTGGGTGTGTTTCAAGTTTCATCATCATTTCAACATAAAGTGGAAAAACTTGTTAAACAGAAAAATAATTTTTCTGACAAAATAAAAAAAAAGAAGTGATGATCAAAAAAAAGCAGTGAACATAAAAAATGTAAAAGAAATTTTCTCCAGTGTTTACGTAAAAATTTCTTGAGAAAAAAAAATTTTTTTTTTTCATTTCACCCAACAACGAAATGTCAACGACAAATGATGATGACGACAACGAAATAAACACCAGAAAAAAATAGTCAAGACAGACATTGAAATAAGTTTTTTTTTCGCTTCTGTTTATTTTTTTCGTCGATCCACAATGATCCAGTAACACAGTGGAAAACTTTCAACAACAACAATGAAATTTTTTTTTCCAGAATTAGAGTTGCAAGAATAAATCCAATTACTGTCAAATGATTGAAGAAGAATAAAAAAGAAGAATTCAATTCAATTCAATTCTTTGATGATGATGTTGTTGAACTAACCTAACCAACAAGACTGAAAAAACACTGTGTTTTGTTTGTTATTTTGACCTTTTTTTCCACTATAAAGCCATGGTGTTTGTGTGTGTGTGTGAGTGATTGACTTTTATCTATATATACAGCAAATTGATCTATCCAACCAACCAACCAACCAACCAACCAACTAACCGACAAAACCGACAAAAAAAATTGCTGATAAAAAAAACATTACATTACAAAGATTAAAGCTAATTAATTTTTCAATTTAGAAACAGAATTGAAAACAACAACAACAACAATAACGAAAAAAACTTCATAATTCCATCAAGCTCAAATGAAAAGCAGCAACAACAACATATATGACGGTATTTTGAATCGGCCATTTTTTTTCATTGCTGAACGAACGAAAAAAACTTTATTCAATTGATCCGATTCGCTATGGGAATTTATTTATAGTTTTTTTTTTGCTTTTTTTCCGTTTTTTGTTCCATCAATATATCGATTTTCAAAGTAAAGTTTTCCTTCATTCTTTCACTGTGTGTGTGTGTGTATGTGTATGTGGAATTTGACGCTATCCGAACCAAACTTCACGGTATATTATTATTTATATGAACGCAAAAATAGCTGAAACAGTGAATAATGTCGACAAAAAAAACGATGATTGTAACATCAGCTAAATGAATGAATGGATGGAAAAAAAATTCTTAAATGAATAAATTTGAATAAAATTATAATGCGAATGAAAAAAAAACCAGTCCACATCAACGACAACAACAACAACAAAAAAAGGTGCCAAGAATCGACCATCGGCTAAATGTGTGTGTGTGTGTGGACAAAACAACAACAACAACAACAACAAAAACGACGACAAAAAATTGCCAATTGAAAAGTTGAAAAACTATTCACAAGTTGACCAAATATGCACATTTTTCATGTTTCAAAATGAATCGAAATTTCCATTTTGTTTTCGTTGTTTAAATCATCATCATCATCATTTTAAATTCAAATTTTTGTTTCACATTCAAATCTTTGTGTTTGTGAAATAATGCCTTTTTTCGTTCATGCTATAAGTGCCTTCTTCCTATAGACAAAATACACACACACACACGAGCAAACACATTGTTTGTTTGTTTTTTTTCAAACATTCGATTCATCCATTGTCAACATCATGATAACTGAATGGTGTGATCATCATCATTTGGATTTACTTTCCGTTTTCTCGCTCTCTCTTTCTTGCTCTTGATTAGACTGTCATCACCAATATCACCAGTGTCGCCGGTATTTGTTATTATTCACTTCCGTTTCGAATCAAAAACAAAAACAAAAAAAATGAAACAATGACATCAAATAGCTACTTGAATTTCAAAAACTGAAAAATTTTCTTCTTCATTTCTTGTGTTTTGTTCGTCTTCTTCGTTTGATTTCAGTGTGTGTGTGTGTGTTTTTTTTTGTTAGTGTATAAGAATGTTGATGTTCCAAATATTTGGAACCATATATTCTTTTGTGTGTGTATGTGTGTGTTTGGGTGATTCTATTTTTTTGGTTTCATTCATTTATTCACTCAAAAAAAGTTGCTCAATTGCGCAAAAATAATTCAAAGAAGAAAGAAAAAAAAAGTTGAAATAAAAATTCCGTCTCATTTTTTATGTTTTCGGAAAATATTCCCTTAGGAAAAGTTTTCATCATCATCATCATCATTGTCATTCATTTTGTTGAATAATTTTTCTTCAATCAAAGAGGAAAAAATATGCAGATCAAAAATCATCATGTCGAAAACAGAATATTCTTACATGAAATAATCATCATCATCGTCGTCAATAAAATATAGACGGCCGATAAAGAGCAAGAGCAAGAGAGAGCTAAACTAATTCTTTTACGCTCGAAGAATTTTTTCGTTTTTCATTCTGATGATGATGATGATGATAATGTTCATCATCATTTGTTTGATGTTGTTCTGATAATGAGAAGTAAATGATGATGATGATAGTAAATTCAGTTCAATTCATTATATTCACATGGCATATAGAAAAAAAAGTGATGGACGAATAAAATAAAATAAATTCATTATCATTATTACCAGAACCAACAGATATAAATTTGGCAAAAAAAAACCAACCACCACCACCATCATCAATGATGGAGAAATACAACATGATGATGAATATTATTAAATCATCATCAAGCTGTCAACAACAACCACCACAACATCAACATGATCAAATTGAACAAAAATGTTGGCCAAAACCAAGACAAAAATGTCGAATAAAATATGTGCGATTGAAATTGTTTGATTCAATTATCAATATTCAACACCATCATTGTTATCAAAAATATTTTCCAATGGATGATGATATCCAATTTAATAAATCATTAGCTGTTTGTCTTTTTGATAAATTCTTTCGACAACAACAACAACAGCAACAGTAGCAACAACCATTCCACAGCAACATTCAATCATCGATCATCGAAACAATCATCAATAATGAATTTATTCATCAGAATGTGGCCAACAATTTTTTTACACCATATTCTTTATGTTCAACTTTTATTAACATTATTAGGTAAATGTTGTGCGAACAAAAAAAAAAAAAAAATAAAATTCTTGAATAAGAAATTCTTGAAAATGAAATTCTATTTCCACAAAAAAAAACTAACAAAAATACTAAGCAAATATAAAAACAAAACAAAAAAAATTTATGAATTTGATTCATCATCATCATCATCATCATCATCATTGCCTTGAGGGCTATTTGATGATGATGATGATGATGTTTGATTCACTGTTTTTTCACTGAAAAAAATGGTATCTTGAACATTGTATTCTGCGTTCATTTTTTTTTTCTTCTTTTGAATTTGATTTTGTCTGTATACATGTATGGATACTGTTTCTTTGCAGTGGCAAAAAAAAAATCATTTTTTTTTCGTCGACTTGTCAAAACTGATTTCTTTTGTTGTTGTTGTTGTTGTTGTTGTGAATATGAATATAAATATATATTGAAATGAATGAAAAAAGGCAAAATATTAATAGAGATCGATAAATGTCAAGAATGAAATGAAATTGAAATTGAATACGTGATCCACTACTACTAACACTGCTATTGCTACTACTACTGGTGTTATTTTTTTTTTAATCAAGTCATCATCATCATATACATGAGTGGATTTTTTTTAGAAAAAAAAAATTATCATCAAGATGATCATCTATGAAGCATCATCTTAGTCATGTTTTTTTTTTTGATTGAATAAAATTCAAATATGTAAGAATGAATGATCAATAAAAATGTCCATCAAATTCTCCATGAAAAAAAAACAGAGAAATGAATGACTTGGAATGGTAGAGAGAGAGACAGAGAGCTAGAGCCAAGAATTTATTGTCAGTGTAAGTGAGTTTCTATTTGGTATTATAAGAATATATATATTCTATATGAATATATAAACAATACATGAATATGGCAATGTGTCATATTTTTTCCACTTTTATTTATTTATTTATTTTTTTTGATGATGATGATGACAAATATTTACATAAGATTTATCATCATCATTTTTTTTCTGCCTGACTACTACTACTACTACTACTACTACTACCACCAGAATTTGTTGTTTGCATCGAATTCTGTGTTGATCTGTGAAATTCCGTAACCCGTATCATTGTCATTGTTTTTTCGATTATATTAATTGAATATATATATATATAAAAAAAAGTTTTCTTCCCACCGTTTCTATAATATTGATTTAAAATTTTCAATTTTTTTTCAAATTTAAATTCTTTCAAATGTTAACAGAATTGAAATTTTCAATTATTTTTCCTCTGTGCATCTGTATGTGTATTAAGATTTGATTCTGCTGCTGCTGCTGCTGCTGGTATATCATGTGATTCTTGATTACAGAACAACAACAACAAAAAAACAATTTTCTTTTTTCTTTACCTCAAAATAAATAATCAATGATCGATGTGTATATTGTTTTTTTCTTTTCTTTTTTTTTTACAATGGTGGTTTTGTTGTTGGTCATTTTTGACATTAATTTAATCAACTATGAAAACCACTTGGACAAACAACAAACACAAAAAAAAAAAAACAATTGTGTGGTCCACAGATCCACTATCCACATGATTTTTTGGATTCCCGAAAACCAAGATGTTTGCCTATATTCTTTTCTCTATCATCATGATGCTGATGGTTTTCATTTTTGTTTTTTTTTCGTTTTTTTTTGTTCTTGATTACATTGTCTTGTCCAATGTGTTGGCTATGTTTGTCTTAGTTCTTTTCATCATCATCATCATTGGCTTTTCTTCATTTTCTTTTTTCATCATCATCATCATCGGTTTGTACTAGAAAATTTATTCGTTTTCTCTCTCGCTCTGTTGTTGTTGATTGAGCATTTTTTTCGGCTTGCAGTTCTGTTCTGTTTTTCTTATTCAATATTCGGTGTTTGTTTGTTTATTTGCTTTTTCTTTTTATTTCTTGATCACAATTCAAGTTGTTTACCGCTACAAAGATGACCACATCATCATCATCATCATCATCATTGTCATTGACTAGCTTAGTGGCCATTATTCAATGAAAATATCCAGTCATGTACAATTCAGTTAATTTTGTTGTTCAAAAAAAAAAAAAAAAAAAAAATATTCAAACTGTCACCGATAAATGGATTGAATGAGTGGAAAAAATAAATCTGAGAAAAAATGAACTTTTGATACTTTGATATTTGATAAATAGTGGCAACACAAATACGAACAACAAAACAACGAATTGTAGAATTATGAAATAAATGAACAATAGTGCCAGCCACCGGTCTATTCTGTGTGTGTGTGTGCATGGTGATGATGATGTACAGAATAAAATAGAATCCAATCAATAATCTCTTATTACAATCCAATGACTTTTCCATTTCCATTTTTCATTGTGTGTGTGTGTGTGTGTGTGTCGTTTTTGTTGGTGGTGGAAATATTGGCTCTCTATTAGAAAAAAAATGCCAAAATAGTAATCATCATCATCATCATCATCATTACATAATAAATTTGGTTCATTATATTTTGGGCCATTTGTTTTACTCTGATGGTGCGTTGATATTTGCTATAAATTCTCTTCTATGAGGAATAAATCCGCCGAAAAAAATGTAGTAGAATTTTTGTTTTATGACAAGAATGGAAAAATATAATAACAGTGCAAGATTGATTTTTTTTTTTATCCGAACAGAGTTTGTGTGAGGCGTTTCCGTGCTGGTCATTTATTTATTAATTTTTTTTGGCTGCTGTTGTCCACTACTGATTTTTTTTGGGAAGGGGAGGAAATGAACAACAACAAACGTAAAAAAATTATGAAAAATGTCAAAGTTGAGACTCACACACACACACACACACACACACACACAAATATGACGATGATTGTAAATGATACAAATGACAATAATAATAATGATAACCTGGAAAAATTTATGGCTCAATTTATCTTTCTTTCTGGCTACCATTCTAGTATTACTACTAGTTTTTTTTACTGCTAGTTTTTATTATTGTTTTGGTTGACAATTGTCACCGAAATTCAGTTTTTATTTCCGAAAAAAAAAGATGTAAATAATCAGAATGAAACAACAAAAAAAAAAATAAACCAAAATTCTTGGAAATGAAACTAGTAGACCAAACAGAAAAAAAAGTATATCACATAAAAGACAATAAAATGGCTAGGAATAAAAAGGAAAATTGTTCCAGGAACAATTTCCTATATTTGCACACACACACACACACACTGTCCATGTCACAGCCATACGTGAATATTATGTCCATATGTCCTTCAAATGATAATTATTTTTCACCGAAAAAAAAAATTTACTTGTGTGGAAAGTTTTTTTTCTGTAGATCAAAAAAAAATATGACCCACATCAACCAGACAAACATATTGTTATGATGATTTGCAATGAGATTTTTGTGTGTGTGCGTGTGTTGATAATCATAAAAATGAGAGGTTTCTGGTGAATGTGTATGAGCAAGCAAGAAAAAAAACCAGAATTTTTTTTTTCGTTTTGAAATCAATTACAAAACTTTGTGTGTGTGTGTGTGTGTATGTTTTTTTTTTCGCTGGTGGATTGAATTTTAACCAGAACAGAAAAACGACAAATTTTCGGTAAATATATAGTCAGTCTACTGATGATCCATAAATTTTCATGGTAATTTTTTTTTCATTTCATTTCACTACTTTTTTTTATTATCTGTCACATGCATGCACACACACACACATACACACATATTTACCGCACACATATATAATAATAAAATAAAATGAAAAATAAATGAAAAAAAAAGTTTTCATCATTCACACGAAAACAAAACAAAACAAAACAAAAAAAAAGTATTGAACAGCGCCCAAAAACAAACTTTTTTTTTTATCTGACGACGATTATTTCAAACTTGGTACTACCACTATTACTATGTCAATGCTGCTGACTGGTAAACTTATCAGGTGTAATTTTTTTTTTTTTTTTTTTTTTGAAAATTTTAACACAGACCGAAAAAAAAAATATTGCAGATGATCATATTCATATATATCATTATAAACACCATTGTTTATTATTCTTGCCAATAATCAATCAATGAATGATGATGAACAAAAAAAAAATCTAACCAACAACAACAACAACAACAACAACAGCAGCATTATTATAATCGGATTTGAAATTCTTAATCTTTATCCCAATCTATGGTATGTATATGGATGTGTAGAAAAATTTCTTTCTTTTTTTTCTGGTTAACATCGACAGGCTTTTTTTTCATCAAATGCCAACAAATTTGCCAGCTTTTTTTTTGTTTCTCCTCAATATTTTCATCACCAATAGATAAACTGAGTGGCAGCGAGAGAAATTGATGGGAAGAGAATTTTTTTGGTTTGGGCCCATGGTTTTTTTTCTCGTTCGTTTCGAGCAAACATCTTTTTTTTTACATTTTTTCTCATTTTTTTGAACAAAAAAAAAATTTTTCCACACGGTGTGTGTGTGTTGGTGAAAATTCGATTTTTTTTTTCGTTGAAAAAATCTAATCTAATCTAATCTTCATTTAATGACATTTGTATTGTGTGTGTCTCTCTGTGTGTGTGTGTGTGTGTGTGTTTTTTTTTGTCCTTCTGTTCCATTTTCATATTTTTTTTTTTTGGGTGCATGATGCTAAAAGAAAGAGAATGAATGGGTGAGTGAGGGAGGAATAGAAAACGATCAATACGATCCAATCCATCAACGACATCGACGACAACGACGACAATCATGATCCATGATAATAATGTTATGGAAATGGAAAGAAAGAAAAAAAATCGGCCCACCTTTTTTTCATATAGAGACAGGGATGAAGAAAAAAAATTTTTTTTGAAAATCCCATAACAACGTTATGGCCATTAGAATTTCATGGTGTGTGCTATGTGTGTGTGTAGGTTGAACGGGTTATCTCAAACTGGATCAACTAAATCACGTAAGCGTGAAATATACCACCAACGAATTGAATTGAAGAATTATTGTTCCATGAAATGAAAATGAAATATAAAATGCAATAATTTACTTCAATTTAACACACACACAC